TGAGGGTTGCAATCCGTTGCCGGACACGGAAAAAGACAAAAGACCAAAAAAAAAAAAAAAAAAAAAGTCAGGGGTTATAAGATCTGGGGCTTATGGGGAGATAACTTCCCCACTCTGTGAACCAGCATTGGGAGTTTACTGGATCTGTTTACCCCACAGAGCCACATCCCAACTCTGACTCGAACAAGGTGAACATTCTTAACCTTTATGAACTTCTCAGTTTTCCCAGAGTTATTGAAATCGGACCTGAGAGAGCACATATACAGTGCCTGGTACACAGACTGAGAGGTGGGAGTGCTCACTCGATGCTGAGTTACCTCCCTTCTCCTCACAATGTTCTTTAGAATTTTTTTTAATCTTTAAAATTAAAGTGTTACTAAACATCATACCTCAGGCCCCTTGTGGGGATAAGGTTAGTAGTGCTCCTCCAATCCCCTTGAACTGTGGAGCTTACAGGAGATGATCAGTAGCTATGAATCAGTGGGGGCAGTTCCTAAAGGATGTGGAAGTGGGCTGCAGTGGATTCAGGGATAGGGAGTGAAGGGAAGGCGAGCTGAGAAGAAACGGTATTCCCAGCAGGAAGACGGGCAAGCCACAAGGTCCTGGCACAGGATGAGCAAGGCCTGCGGGTGGACCTGGGTATTAACTACATTGAAAAGGCTGATGGATGAGACTTTGCAGAATAAAGCTGAAGACGGCACAGGTGAGATTGTGCATTTAGACTATTCCTCATTGTGCCAGTCAATCTCTTGATTGTACTCTAATCAGAACTTCTGTCTAAGAGGAAGCATGCCATTGGACCAGGACTGGAAATACAAAAGAGAGAGAGAGAGAGAGAGAAAAGCACCTTTTTGTGTGTGTGTGTGATGAAAGAATGAATACCTGTTAATACCAGTTAAGGAAAATGTTGTCACCCTTAAGCCTCGTTCCCAAGACTCAATCTCTTGCAATGTAATCTTTGTTATGCCCTTGGCAGTTAAACAGGGCCTTGACCTGGTCACCCAGGCCGTGGGAATTTTAGATTGAAGAAAGAGATCCCCACAGCAGAGTTCTTGTTTGCCCATCTCATAAGCTTCTTTCTGAAAATTCCACATACTTCCGTGTATTTGATTTTTCCTTCTTTTGTGATAAAGTCGGTAAAATGTTCTGTCAAGCCCCAAAAGGGATTTGAGTAGTAAATGTCAGAGATAAGAGATAGATAGATAGATAGATTGGGATATAGGTAAGTAGATAGTTACAGATATCAACTATAAAGGTTTTATATCATAGAGAAGATGACATATATCACAAGGGTACGTCAGTGTGTTCACAGTCTAGCCTGCCAGCAGGCACAGTTTAAGGACTTTCACTAAAACACCCCGTAGTGACAGTCCCCAGAAGAAACTGCAGGGGATTCAATGTGATTTTATTGTTTAGGTAATTGGAAAGCTTAAAGGTATCTTTGCTCATAAGACCTGAGTCTTAGAAACACGATTGCACCGTGAATGTGCATGATGGATTGGATAGGAAGGGGCTGCCTGCAGAGACAGCCAGGGAGCTCTAAGTCGTGTGCAGGTGTGTGTTCCTGCTCAGGCAGCAGTGATGAGGATGTGGACAGCTCGAGCCTGCAGCTCTGTGTAGGCAGGACCAATAGCACAAGGTCACGGTCAAAGTAGAGTGAATGAGGAGTAGATCATCACCAGAAGCAATCTGAATACTTCGAGTCAGGGTGGCTGATGAGAATGTTACTCCCAGAACAGGCTCGGCTGCCCTCTCGCGTTAAACAAATGACTCGAAAGTCCAGACGTCGGTGCAAGGATTAGAAGGTTTATGGAGATAACCGGCATCAGGAGGATGACCAGGCTAAAATCACCCCAACTTCTGATGCCTGTTCTGGGACTTATAAAGGGGAAGAGGCAGGAAAATGAGAAGGGTCCTTGTACTAAAGAAAAAAGGTAGGGGGTGAAGAGTCTGGGAGCAGCAGGTGGTCTGAGTCAAATGTGAGGGTCCCGTGATGGACTGGAAACTTCAGCGTCACAGAGTCTGTGGTCAGCTTCAAGTACTTGATGCCACCTCGAGTTTGGAGTCCTTATCTCCTAGGGAGAGCTCAAGGATAATAACCTTAGTCAAACATCATAAAAATACCTGACTTGGATTTCTAATTAACATGAATGCAGTTTTCCTTTAAGTAAGAGGGGGAGTTTACAGCCAGCTAGGCTGTCTGCCTCTCTCTTATGTCTCCTCTTGTTTGCGGCCAGTCAGAGAGGTAAGAAGAACAAGAAACTTAGTTTCAGTCCTTAATTCTAGGTGTACCCTCTGCAGTAAATCAGCATAACGGTGGTGATGTCATCTCCGGGCAGTCTCTCAATTCTTCTGCTAACCTCAAGGAATTGATACTTATCAGTTTCCAAGTTAAGGGCTGACTGAAATGTTCTGCTTGGTCTTAGTTACCCCAAAGATGGTTGGTTTTTTGGCTAAGGTCCCTTTCAGGAATACAGCTATAAATTAAGAAGAAGGAGCTGGTTGGAGGTTGGAGGAATGGCTGACAGGTGAAATTTGGTATGCCTCAGTTCACAATGTCAAAAATGAGATTGGAGGGCAGGGAGGACCTGACAGCTGCAGACACAGGTCTGGAAGGATTCTGCTTGAACGTGATTGTGGCAGATGTGAAATTACTGTGTTCACTCAGGAAAGTGAGACTGTGCCTTGGGAAATTCCTCTGTTTGGGTAATGGGAAGACAGAAGACAGTCAACGGAGTGCAGAGGCAAGATCTGGAGCGCAGCTCCAAGGGGAAAGAGCTGAACAGAAGGGTGTCAGATGCAGGGCGCGAAGGTCAGGGCAGGACAGTACCCAGCTTTGCACTTGAGAAGACGGCAGGGGGACGGTGTGCACAGTACATTGAATTACAATTACAAAAAACCTCTCTCCTCACAATTTTCTGGCTCCTGTTTTCATCTGTGACATCACTCTCCCTCATCTCCCTTTGCCAGCATTTCTTTTGTCTCAGTTATTTCCACTAATGCTCTTACTGTTTTCCAGATCCAGCAACGCGCTGAGGAGAGTAGTACTTAACAGCAAGAGCTTGGCTTTCAGCTGCTTACAAAGCCCTCAGCTTGCAGCCCTTTGCTGCTGTGTAGATAATCTGAGGTTGACCATTTATTCTCCCCAAGCCACGCTGCTCAACAGTAAAACAAATGTGGAAACATGGACCTTAGTGAGACATTAAAACAGTGTAAAGTCATTATCACAATATCTGGCACATAGTGAGTGCTTCATAATTTGTATCTATTATTAACTGTGGCGTGTATTTACCTCAATATCTTTCTTGCTTTCTCTATCCTTTTATTACTTTCTTCACTGTCCCTGGAACTTCTCCCTTTCTTTAACTGTTTAGACTCTGAGAAGAAACCTCAGAATCAGAATCTAAGAAACGGAAATGTCACAATTCCTTTACATCTTAAAAAGCGGCTTAAAGTTGTGCTAGCCTGGCTTTGTCCTACTGTACCTCACTGTGTCAAAACTGGGGTGCTGAGATGATTAGAGAAAAAAGCGCATTCTATGAGGTTTATTCCATAAGTATTTTTGATAGAAGAGTGGGAGGAAATACAATAATTGTTTCACAAGAATATTGGGAACTTTATAGCAAATACTGCGTAGTTTTGAAATAGAAGGAGAGAAGGAAATTTACACTCATTATCCATTTAAACCGAGGGATTTGAGTTATTTTCAAATAACAGCAGAGTTCTTTAGAATATCACTGGGGCGGGGGTGGGAGAGGTATGCTTGTTGCAACATCTAGGCAGAACAGATCTCCATTAATTTTACAGACTATACATAAGGCACCAAATCAAGAACTAAAAATTAATCCTTCATAAGTTACCTGCATACAGCATTTAATCTATTTTTAATGATGTCCTACCCCCTACCATCCCCATCATGAACTTGAAGGTGTACAGTGCTTGCGAGAGGGCAGGAGTTTGGAGGCTGATGGAGCTCAATGGAAAAGCTCTATGAATCAACAGGTGGCAAACCAGTTGCTTCCTAACAGCAATGGCATCCAAAAACCAAATTGGCTGTGTTTTCCATCAGTGAAAGGTAATAAACACTCGACAAAGAAGTTGTGCAGGGAATTCAAATGCCACTCAAGCTGGCACATAAATGTTAGCTGTGGAGGCAGTCTAATCTTTCAGGAGACAACTCCAGCAGCTGTTTCTTACAATGACCAGGAGCTTACTCCCTGCGCTCAAAATTCTGTACTCTGGGGCCTGGGGTGTTATGACAAATCAGAAGCTGAAGTAACTTAAGTCTTGGCTACTCCACTCCAGGGACTTGGGGGATCTGGAATTGTGCTATATTTGACTGGGAAAGTGACTGATAGAGCTGCTTATATGTGAGTAGTCATAAGAGGAGAGATCAGCATGGTCTAGAGAGCCAGAGAGCACCTACTCAATGGTGATGGGGCCAGATTTAAGCCTTATGAGGTGAGTAGGGTGTGCCCCCAGCTGCGTACAAAGCCCTCAGCCTGCTTTATGTCACTTCCTACCACTACCTCCAAAAGACAAAATGAGAAAGCCTAGGAAGATGGACAATTCCCTGCCAATGTGTTTGTAGAGAGAAGTCAAACATTCTAATGTGATTAGAGGTACAGTTGGCTTTGACCAAATTGGAATAAAATTGTAATTCATATGGTACGCTTTCACATATTTAAGGTCCCCTTATCATTCGCAAGACTCTGCAGTTGAAGCAGGTATTTTCTTCCCATTTTACAGATGCAGAACTTGAAGTTCAGAAAGATTAAATGGCTTAATCAAGGTCACAGAGCAGGAGGGAGAGCAAAGACACATGTGCTGCTGTTCTGACTCCTAGTCCTGATTCCTCCACTCTGCAGTGTCGCTACAGAGGTAAGGAAGATCAGATAGAGTGTAACCTGTGTAAGAAAGAGCAGACACAGGAAGGAGGAAAACTGTTAATTCCTACTCACAGGTGCTATTTATTCCAACTGTCTTGACTCATCACAGGTGCCAGAAAATGCCTCAACATGAGAAGTGACAACCAGAGCTTCGTGGGGGATCCCCCTAAAGTCTTCATCCTTCTGGGTGTTTCTGACAGGCCATTGCTGGAACTCCCCCTCTTTGTGGTCCTCCTGGTGTCCTACTTTCTGGCCATGTTGGGGAACATTGCCATCATCCTGGTCTCCTGGCTGGATTCCCAGCTCCACAGCCCCATGTACATCTTCCTCAGCCACCTTTCCTTCCTGGACCTCTGCTACACCACCACCACGGTCCCTCAGATGCTGGTTAACATGGGCAGTTCCGAGAAGACCATCAGCTTCGGTGGCTGCACAGTGCAGTATGCAGTTTTCCACTGGCTGGGATGCACTGAGTGCATCGTCTTGGCTGCCATGGCTCTGGACCGCTACGTGGCCATCTGTGAGCCCCTCCGGTATGCCATTATCATGCACCGTCTTCTCTGCCAGAAGCTTGTGGCTATGGCATGGATCAGTGGCTTTGGCAACTCCCTTGTTCAGGTAGTCCTGACAGTACAGTTGCCTTTCTGTGGGCGGAAGGTGCTGAACAACTTTTTCTGTGAGGTCCCAGCCATGATCAAGCTGTCATGTGCTGACACAGCTGTGAATGATGCCACGCTGGCCGTGCTGGTGGCCTTCTTTGTGCTAGTCCCCCTAGCTCTCATCCTTCTTTCCTATGGCTTTATCGCCCATGCAGTGATCAGGATTCAGTTCTCCAAGGGACGGCACAAGGCCTTGGGGACCTGTTCCTCCCACCTGGTGGTGGTCTCCCTCTTTTACCTACCTGCCATCTACATGTACTTGCAGCCCCCTTCCAGCTACTCCCAAGAGCAGGGCAAGTTTATCTCCCTCTTCTACTCCATAATCACCCCCACTCTCAATCCCTTCATCTATACCCTGAGAAATAAGGACATGAAGGGAGCTCTGAGAAGACTTCTGGCAAGGATCTGGAAGCTCTGCAGAAGATGAAGATCTGTGATGTGGCAATCTCCACTGATTAAAGAACATGGGCGAGTGTATTGTGTGCCCAGAGCACTCTCCACTTAAGGAATTAATAACCAAACAGCAAGTATTTTGAGAGATTTGAGAGCCTCAAAAATTTCTTGTTCAAAACATCTCACCTCCTGTGTGGTCACAGTTGCCTAAAAATTTTAGCTCTACAAATAAAGTCAGTTCTAAAAGGGTGATTCTAGGGCTGTCTGGTGGCTCACTTGGGAGAGCATGGTGTTGATAGAAGTGTCATTCTAAGAAGCCATATGTTTTTGAGAATTGTTTAAACAGACTTGGTCTTCAATAAGTATTTGCTAAGTCATTTAATTTCTAATCTCCTGATTCCCCTTTCCCTCTTCCTATATTTCTTCTATTTTTCTCCCATTTGCCTCTTTTCAAGCTTCTTTTTTTCTTTTCCATTATTCCCAAGTACATAATGTGAAATTGATACACAATCTTTTTTTTTTCCTTTTTGTCTTTTTTTACTGACCGGTAATGGGATCGCAACCCTCGGTGTC